TGGTTCAGTGTCTCAAATGAGATCTGTCTGAATAGTCTGATAGCATTAAGATTCTCATTCTTGTTTTGTTTCATTTAGACATTTAGAAGTGAAGTCCAACATGCCAGCCAATGCATAAATACAGTTCACTATTTCGATGAATATTTGCAATTAATTGACGGTTCAGGAACCACTTCCATCCCTGCCATACATTTAAAACAGACCTACTCTTGCACCGATCCGACTAAAGTGTCTCCAGCAGCATATAGACTGAGTATAATAAACTGTGCTTCCATTATTAATCCAGCTGCCTCATTATTTATTTACTTCAGTGACTAGATCAGCTCCGTTCTTGCGGCGCCACGGCTGTAAACATTATTGCGTTTAAACTGGAAACGCTCTGTAATAATTCATTTTATACACGAGGAAAATATTATTGCTGTTCTATAGAGGAAGCAATATGTGGCCCTGACGGTTGACGCGACCACTTTGTTCCTCGTGATTTCATTGTAGAAGCTGTGAATCTGTGCGCTGCTGCTCTGTTTGCTGCACACTAAACAGATTAACTTAATAAAGCTAGCTGTGGTCACAACGAAACGCTGTAGATGCAAATAATCAATGAAGTGGCCGCTGCTGTGTTACCTGCATAAATTGCAGAAGCAAAAGCAGATCTCCCAGTTTGGAGACTGTATGGATCGAGCTTCTTAGCGATGCTTCGGCTGGTTTTAAGAAATAAGACCAACGTTCTGGAGTCTAAAAGCAGATTTCATGAGGTTTGTTAGTGCATAAGTTATGATTCTGTGATACTGAAGGAGGTGTGACAGGGTGGAGTTTGGATATCAGGAAGGCAACACCCCTGGTCACACCTCTGTCCCGTCATGCTGGCTTTTCCTTTTACACAGATGTCTATTTAGCCCTGCGATGACCTCTGCTGCGAGCTTAAAAGCCCAACAGCTTTGCCTCCTCATTCCGTGCTCGGATATACAGAGCAGCCAAGAGGTTTCTATTTCCACCTGATGGACGTCGGTTCGGTTACCCATGCAACAAGCCCAGAACAATGCTAACATTATTTCGGGGGTATAATTGTTGCCATCCAACAAATTTCAGTCCAACATTCACTCTCCCTGTAGCTCTGTTTTGATCCTTTCCAACTCCTAGGAAAATGCTTGTGTTGTAGCTGCCTGCTGGAACCAGTCATAACTGCGAGGAGAAATGAAAAGAGTAAATCTGGAAGCCATGAAGCCAACACAATGAGCTGAAATGCATTAAAATGCATCGTGGAGCTAACGGGAGCTCCAAAGTTAGATAAGTCTTTGTGAGTTTATTGCATTACTACAGGCAATCCATGCGCATTACATATTCATCTGTTGCATTTGAAATCATTAGAGCCGCTTCAAGAGGCCTCATGGAGAGGACTAAAAAAGCAGGCTGACATTTATATGGCATGGCAATGACCAATGTGAACATCCTAAATATTTATACCAATTAGATCACTGGCATTCAACTCTAATCCCAAAATAGTGTAGCTGGCGTCAGAAAGCCCAGAGTGGTCAAAGCTCATTTGCTTAATTAAGGACGCGTCCCACATGTAGCGCTCCAACATCATTTAACAGTTACTGCATTAATCTTTGAGATTTCATCGAGTTAAACGTGAACAAAGACGAGCGGGACAGAGGACGCTGGCAGCCTCTGCTGTGTTTCTAGGAATGGCAGATTGTGTAAGAGTGAGAGAGAAATGACAAACAGCAACCGTATGCGTTGGACAGCTGTCACGTATTAAAAGTGTAAATGCAACCAAGCACCTCAGTAGGTGGTTTTGAGCAAACTTCTGTTTTGCAAGTGTGAGCTAATTTATATATAGTTGCTGATGTAACTAAAAAGCGACATTTTTACATCATTTATTTTTTTGTTTCTGTGTGTTTTGCAGTTACTAAATGGGCTACAGGTGCATTACCACACACCTCTGGGCTACAGTCTGTGTTTCCAGATTGACAGTGATCATCATACTTGTGCAATAATTCAGTAGCATTATAATCAATAATGACAACAATGTCTAAATGCACCGTAATTTTTGCATGTAGTTTCATTTAGCTTCATTCTTTTCTCTCAGAGTGAAATGCTATACGGCTGATTTGGAAACAGTCCGACGATGTATCATCCACTAACTATGTCCTCAGAACCGACAACTAATATTAATGATTCAGTCACAGCTCATCCCATGAGAGACTGCCTCTGCTCTCAGCCCTTTCTAAAAATCTTTGTTACTGTATGTCTGACGTTTGTGGTCAAACCATCATTAGTGTCCAAATGCGCCAAGTTTAGTTTGATTTATTGTGCAAAAATAAATAGCTTTGACATATTTAGCCTTCTGTAATTTATATGCTTTAATAGCTCAATGTTTGGCTCACCATTGTCTGGATTTGCACAGTTTCAATAAGATACGCAGTGTGATTATTTGGTTTAGAGCATCTAGCCATGCTGGACTGATCCTGATTTTTTACATACAACCAGAAAGATGTTGCTTATCAGAGACACCAACACCAATCAGCCTGGACATGGGCCCTCTGTCATGTGGTGTCTGGCACTGGGGCATCGGCAGTGGGTCCTTTGGGTCCTGAGGTTTGCTGAGTGAGGCCTCCATAGATCAGGATTGCTCTTGTGCATACCATGGATGGTGGTCAGATTGGGATATGGGGAGTTTGGAGGTGCAGTCAACACCTGGGGCTCCATGTTGGGTTCTTCCTGAACAATTTTTGTGGTGTGCTAGCATACGTTGTGCTGCTGTTGGGGAGTGCCGTTGTTGCATTACTCAGTTCATCTGCCAGTGGTTCCAACACTGTGGCTGATGGATGTATATGTGTCTGAGAGTCAACAGAAAAATATAAAATCACTGGACATGACAAGAGTATGTGGACCAATTGATTTAATGGCAAAAATGTATAAAAAAATGTTCTCACTTGTCTTGGGTACCACTTGAGTTACGCCAGAGTCATTAGTATTTGACATAAACTACTTGTTGCTCATTTTGTATTTATTTCTGATTGCATATGACATTATATTTGTTGATATACCACAGATGCTGGTCATCAGTTTTGTTCTGCCTTGCTGAAGCACCTGTAGTGTATACTCACCTGTGAATGTGTTCCTATTTGCAGGGAGTTCAGCCACTGGAAGGTGAACAGCCTGGCCACAGAGAAGAGAGATTTCCTCAAAGCTCCATTGCCCTTAGCGCCAGAGTTCCTACGCAACCTGCGGTTACTGGGGCGACGGCCAACCCTGCAGCAAATCAACGAAAACCTCATCAAGAAGTACGGGACCCACTTCCTAGTTTCTGCTACCCTGGGAGGTAAGGAAGGACTGCCGGTGACACACTCGCCTTTATTCTCGGGTTAGGAAGTGTCGGGACACGCCAAAAATAGAGGAGCTACTCATTTTAGGTCTCCGTGGAGTTGTAGGCTGTGTTGGTGTCGTGCTGCAGAAGTATAGTCTTCCTTTTTTTTTTTTTTCTTCTTCTTCTTTTTCAAGGGAGAATGTCAAGTGAAAAGCAACAATAGCAACAATGCCCACACCTCACACCTGCGGCATTCAACCGGGGGCTGTTTTCCAAAGTGGTAATTTTCCATTCATCCTTCCTGCTGATGAACATTACGTGCAGCTGCAGGAGCAAAGAGGGATTAAACTGACCTGTTTCTTAGCATACCGTATGTCTCTCTTTATTGGATTTCTTTTTAGCCTCGATCCCAGAGGAGAGAAGTAATTCACAAAACAGAATCGCCAGCAGTATTGATCGCACGCGCCTCACAAAAACAAGACCGGGGCACTGTGTAATGTTCTGAGCGACAACCTCGTGATATTGATATACTGCTGATCCAGGTCATCACATAGCGCCGCCCAGATATACAGCACATTTTTACAGTTGCTTTTTTTTATTTTTTTATACGAGGACTTGTAGAAAATTGATAGTGAGTATAAACATCTCTAAGCGTCCATTTCATCAGAGTCAGGGCAGGATTTACAAGCCCAGGGTTCCCGGATCAGTCAACCCTATAATATACAGTGAATGTACAAAATAGTAAAGGATACTTACTCATTTAAAAGTGATATAATGGACTTTAAATTATGACAAAACACTATCATTTGATACCAAAATTACCCATACATCTTCGTGTTGTCACACCACCTCTTTGGATCGTTCAGATAAACCCAGTCTCCTGCTCCGGTATTTGCATCCAACCTGACTTTGCTGCTACTTATCACTGGATGTACGCGCCGGAGCATCGGCGTGGCGGACGAAGCAGAGATGAATGCAGTGTCAGAGCGATAGTTAGATTCTATATGTAATTAACGGCCTCGGCTAAATGGGCAGAGCCAGGCTGCATGCTGATTAGACTGTTGCCTACATCCCACGTATCTACTTTTTTTTTTTTGTTCTCTTTTGTTCTGCTGTTTCCATTCCAGTCTCGCCTGCTTTTTTTATGTCTGCCTCGCCGACTACGCTCACAATGATCTCTGAAGTGTTTTTTTTTCTAAATAGTTGAAGTGAATAAATTGACTTAATGATTGTCAAAAAATAAGCAGCAGAGCCACAGAATGGTAATTTTTACACCTACAAAATGAGCGGCATTACGTCTCGCATTACGATTTCAGGAAATTATAGCGGATACGTGTGTAAACTCAAATAAAAATGGCAGAGGTTGAATATAGCGCACTGTTTAGGAAATCGGTACTGATTTCAGGCACAGCGTGAGTGTCACGACTAACTAGGTACCCATGAATTTAAAGTCAGTGTTCGTCTCTGTGTGATTCTCTGAAAGCCTTTAAATTCTCTGTGTGTGTTAATAACATCCATAAACAACCGTGCGCTTTGTTAAAGACGAGGGAGACGTGCTCTTTGTCTGATTTAAGCAAAACATATTCGCAGCAAGACACTTAAGGAGCGGCAGTTTGACTAATTTTCACAGTTTAGCCCCTTTTAGAAAGGAAGTGGATGGTTCCCGGTAACTTGTTTTCTCATCTTCATTCCATCCATCTTTACCAAAGCATGTTTTTGTACAGTCTTAATAATTCCAACAATGTGGAAAACACATTACCATTAAATCTAATAACGCTCAACTAATTGCAGCTGTTGAGCGCATAAAATGCAGCAGCGACTATTAGATGTTTCCAAGTGTTGCCAACTCTCTAAGACACCCGTTTGTATGCCCCTCTCATGCTGCTCAAACAAATCTCAGGCCAAACAAGAGGAAGCCTCAAAGCTCCTCCTCTGTGAAAAAAAATAATCCACATGCTTTTTCTGCACAAAGAACCAAGACTAAAAATCAGGCTTGTTCCGTATTTCGACACCAATGCTCCATAAACCTCAGAGAGCGCAAATTACACAGTTTGCACACACACTCAGTCAGTTTTCTCTACAATTTCACATCGATTACAGGCTGAAATGTCCACAAAGCACTACTGAGATAAACATAGAGTCTGTAAGAGGTCATATTAACAAGGCTTACCAATAATTAAATATAATCCGAGTTTTGAGAACACATTAACCGCAGTTAAAGTTCAATTTGTTGCTTCCGGCTGTTTGTAGCATCTGTGTCAAAACTGAGAGAGTTGCCACATTTAGGCGCGTGGAAGAACTGCAGGCGCTTCTTTAATTACTTATAAATTATCCCAGACGGGGAGACAGGATCGATCGGGATCTAACGGCAAATGACAAGCGTGTACTTTTCTTCACATCAATCAGGTGAGCTGTCACGCACACAGTCACAGTTTAGAAGCTGCAGTCCGAGCACTCGTTCCACAGCTGCCACCGTCGGGTCGAGTCATGAGCTCAGCTGCCAGGGAGCCGTTTGACTGTAAAAGTCTGATCGGTCCACTAAGATTAGGACTGAATTTTATGTTTTACAGTCTTGGTGGTGACGTTGTGTGCATGGATGCCTCCTATAACTACATATAGACCTCTGCAATCATTAAAGTAACTACCAAAGTAGTGCAACAGATAGCCGAGTCATTAGACATGAGGTTTTTAACATTAATGAAATAATAAAACTAAAAAGATAGTCAGCAGATTGTTTGTGCAGATTGTTCTTCATAATGAGGTTTTTTGTGTTATGGGGCTTCATGGCTCAAATTTCCAACCTCAAACTCAACACAGCATCTCTTCTGCTGGTAAATTTAAAGGGTGTTTCATGTAAGTTGGTATTTCATTCAAATGTAGGCTTTTGTATGCAAGTGCACCAGTGCATTTGTGCAACTGTTACAAGTTACTTTAATCGTGTTAGTCAAGTAATACTGTGACGGAGATCGATCAAACTTCTGCAAAGTCATATCTTTACTAATTTCCTAACTAATTTCCCACTCCTGCTAATTGGTGAAGTCAGTCACGAAGTCTCCATCATTTCATAACGTACACCGACTGTGTTTCAAATTAAACTGCATCAACGAGTAATCTGGTTTCAAAATGACAGATCTGTAAGGAGGCTACTGTATGTGAAAACTTAAGTAAATTAGATAACATAAACTGTTCCTATTAGTCAATTTCTACAGTGTCCCTCTATCGTGGTTGTGATACTGGAAGATTCCAGACAACCTCCCCTTACACAGTTATGGTAATATATCTCTACCGCCAGCGCTAAACGTTGAGATACCCGGATAAACAGGACGATTTCATAACATATTTTCCTTTAATGTAAAGGCGAGCATAAAAAATCTGCAAGCATTGCCGTATCAAATGATGGAAGACCTGGATAGCCTCGGGTGTTCTGCAAGTAACAGCATGTATGGCCGGTCCACATAATGACCAACATGAGAAACAAAATAAAAAGGTATTGAAATGATCCTGAACATGCCCTCAGGTAAGCCCACATAACCTGCTAGCTGCTAGGTCATGTGGTTGACACGACAGCTTAAACTTCTTTCAGACTTTAGAATGTCTAATTCTCCACTTTCCGATGCTGCTTTGGAACTAGACCAAGTGAGGAGTGTGTGTGCTGGATAATTCACAAGGTAGGACGTTGGAGCATTTCCAGTATACACACTGAGTCGTGCCAGCTCTGACTTTACAAAGTTTGAAAGGTCAGCAGCCATTTAGGTACCAGAGGAGTGACTGGCATTAATCAACAACACTTGTTAACACAATTTAGAAATATGTTTCGATTTCACAAACAACAGGATGACCTTCATATTTGTCATCCATTAGCATTTAGGAAAAAAAAAAGCTAAAACAAATCACACAGTGATCGGAGTCTTCCAGTAAATGATCCTGATCAATTAGCCACAAACGTGTTATAAAACACCATCAACAAACATGGAAAAATACAACCTATTATCTTGTTTTTGTGCAAATTCAGTAGATTCTGAGGCAGGTGTCTTGGATGCCAACACAGATGATACATTATCTGCATCACAGCAGACAAACCACAAAACCACAGCGAGACTGAAGGCCTGCCAAAGAAATGTCAAATCCAAAAACACAATATCACTTCAGTCCCTCTAAATATAACGTCAGTCTGGCAGCATGGAGCAGCCTGCTGTCCTAAAAATTACACTCCTATACAACTCAACTGCAATCCCGATTGGGTTTTGACAAACCCTATCTTCTCCTGTATTAAGTTTCTGACCAACTTATCTTTGTTCTAAGCTCTGACCTAAAGCTTGGACCCAAATGCAGCATTCAGAATACTTGGATGAGGTTTTTTTTAGTTTTTGGAGGTGGTGTCTAATATTTGGTGAGAGTCAAACGGAGTGGAGCCTCTGACTGCGATGACAGAGGACTGGATGAGGGTGAGAACTCTCCAGGAGGGAATCCGGGAAGATAGGTAGGCTGGATGGCAAAGGAAGGCTGACGGAGGCACTGAGCATGACGTTCGAACAGAGAGAGTGGCTGTACTGACCATGTAGAGGCTGTGGAGCTCAGGTTTGTCCAGTGATTGCTGCCTGGGAAAAGCAGGTTGACCAGTTACACATGTACAAGCTAAGAAAAGGAAAAAGGAGAACCAATAAGAAACACAAAAGAGAGGAGAACAACGGAAGCGCAAGGAAAAGAGGCACAGCTGGAATCATGACATTTGCCATTTATTTTAGAGCTTTATTGTCTCCTCTTCCAGCCAACCAATCATCTGTCAGATGAAGTGGGACTCGTCACCCTGGTAACGCAGGAAATGGAGAAGTTTGAAGCCTGTGACGCAAACCATGACATCTTTCTAAACCTAACCGAGTCGTTGTGGAGTCTGTACCATTAAGCAGCTTTAACATACCCAAGATATGATTCGGTATCCGGCTTCACTAAAGCCTGATGGTGGTTGTCCATTTGGTAAGCCAGTCCAGGATGTCTGAACCTGGATATGAGCTTGTTCACAAGAAAGGGGGGGTGTTGGGAACTGATGTGAAGTCCAGAGCTGCATGTTTCTCACAAGAAGAACTATATTTCATAATATACTAAAGGCAACACTCATGCTGCAGTTTCTGGTTGAGTTTGATTTCACTTGTAGCTCGAAAAACTTTCCCTCTCACTGTCTGTGCACCACCGTCGTCGTCCTCAACCCCCCAAAATCTGGTCAAACTTGAAGTCACCTCACTAACCTCAAACTGTGCTTCATGGTGCATGCTCTGTTGCCCAATTCTAACCAAACAGCACATGACATTAAAACTTCATTGGCCTTTGGAGCGCTTTAAAACCGGAAGCCGTTGCTACCGTGGGATTGTCTTACCTTTTATAGAGAAAATAAGTTTCTTTCAAAAGAATCCACTTTAGTTGGGTTGCATAAAAGAAGCAAGGCCTTCAGCAATTATTCCTTTTCAAGCCACATTAAACAAAAGATTCAGTCCTTTTTTTTGTTTTTTTTAAACAACAGGACCCACAGAGAAATAAATATGTTTTCTTTTTTAAATGAGAAGAGTTGCTGTAAAGTAATAAAAACCAGCACATTTATTGATTGATTCTTGATCCACAGGAGAGGAGTCCTTGACCATTTTCCTGGACAAGCAGAAGCTGAACAAGAAGTCGGAAGGCAACAGCAACAGCTCGGTGGTCTCTCTGGAGTTGCTGCATCAGTTGGCAGCTTCCTACTTCACGGACCGAGAGAGCACCTTACGAAGGCTCCACCACCTCCAGATCGCCACCTCCGCTATTAAGGTGCTGCTCACATTCACACATGCTCACAACATGTATCGGCATGCAGGAGATTTACTGTTTGTATACAGGACATACTACATATGCAGAGGTGTTGTTTGTTTCCTATACACAGACGTGTGTTTAGCAATTCAATAGATTCACAGCCAACCACATCACCAAGGTAGACAAACATTACCGCCGTCCCCTTGGGATGCATTGCTCCATGCAGCATTTATGATGAATAGTTTTAACATGCAATCCTTTTTTTATAGATTATTTTCAAGGTGCGTCGTTGCTCAAAAGCTAGATGAGAGAGAGCGTGCGAGGACACAGCATTTTTTTTTTAAAGAGCGGCAGGCTGGATTAAAAGCTCTGTAGCCCACAGAGGTGCTAAAGCAAGGCAAATGTCAAGTTCCTCTAAAGTCCCAGCGGGAAAGGAATATTTATGCGTACTGTACTCTACTGTATTCCATCTGGACAGGCTCGTGTGTGTGTTCTCCCGTGGGTGTGTGTGTGTGTGTGTGTGCAGTTGTATCACACGAGGGTTAAAAACATCAAGCAATTATCATCAGTTTTATTTTTTGAAAAGCAGTGACACAAAGTGGCTCTGACTGTTGAATTTCAAGTGGTTTAACACCTCTTTAAAACACATAAACCACTTCTTTGCTTCATTTTGTTTACCTGCACACTCAACACTTAACTCACCTCGATGCAGCGAACCGTCATTTAGCCAAAATCCACCACTTTTGCGAAATCTTTTCATCATCAACTGCAAAAAGAAAAAAAAAAACCACACTTTTGTTAAAAAATCCACTCCAAGAGCACAGAAAATAAATCCCATTATCTCCTCTGCTTGTTTTTTTTTTTTTATATATTTTTTTACCTTGTTTAAATCCTTTTTCCCCCTCCTGATTGGAAGCAAAGCATAACCAAGCAATACATTATTCACATCAGAACAGATCTGTTGGCTCTCATGCGATGACAGCAGGTGTGTGGGTGGGTGGATCGGGCTTTCATGCTTCTACTTAAATAGCAAATCTGATTGAAATGAGTAATTGCCAAGTGTGAACTTTGCGCATACCTTGAATAAGGTAGCTCATTTCACGGTGCAGGGAAAACACAGCACGCAGCACCTTCGTGATGTAGACTTGTGGCACCGGCTCTCAGACCGTTTTTGTTTGAGTCATTTCAAAACGGACCCTGAACCGTTTGCCTTGAACAGTCGTACATGAAAGCTGGTTAACATAAAGGCTTCCTGGACTGGGAGCAAATAGCTGCTGCCTTGAGAGCAAAGCTTGATTATTATGAGACTTGAAATTGAATTTTAAAGACGGTGGATAAAGATGAGTTCAACATTTTCGCCACATATTAGCTGAAAAACAGCATCTAGACAAACTTTGCTGCAGTGCAGGCTGAGCTCCTGGTGGAAAATGAAAAGCAGATCATCTGTGCGTGCTTTATTACAGCAAACCGCCACTTAAACATGTGAGCAAAATAACAAACAAGGATTTTTCGAGCTTACTGAAGTATGCTAAGTATGACTGCTGCAGCTTGCTACAACAGACAGACATTATCTGCTAAGCCTGAATTAATTATGAACTGAAATCTTCCTCCATTTGATATGTTTGTGTCTGTGGGGAGAGAGGCTAATGAGTGAGTGGCGCGCTGAAACAATCATCTTTTTTGCAAAGAAGTCGGCAACTGCAGATAAATAAGTAAGTGGCGACCATTTAGATTTGTTTTCCACATCAGTTGGTCTGCTTTTCAATCCATCCACTGATATTCTGTGAAAGGCGCTCGCATACAAATTCGGCTGCACGCTGCCTCCGTGCATATTACACACGCATGTCTTTAGTCAGAAATATTACACAGTGAATTTGTGAGAATTCGTTGGATCCGGCAAATTGGATTGAACTAAGTGGAGCTCTGTTTGCCAAAGTAATGCAAAGTTATGGATCATTTTAATGGGACTCGAGTAGAAATCAAAATTTGCTAAACATTTAATGTGGCAAATTCTACCTAAAGCGGTGGAAAATATGGGTTTTTATCCGAAACTTGGGTGAGTTAGAGACAGACCTTTACAGAACTGTCCCAGGTTTATATCATATCACTTCAGTCAGGCCCAGAATTATTGCCTCGCCTTGTGGCCCGGCCTTGTAAAGAAGCACTGTGTCAAATCCAATTCAAGGATTGAGTAAAAGAGCAATGTAGCAGCAGCTGAAAATCCATGTTCTTCAGACGGCTGTTGGTAAACTGAAGGCAGAAAATGCTCAGCTATGGTGTTGACTGCTTTTTCCACTCATGGTTTGTCTGCTAAAAAAAACAACGTACGGATACATTAACGCATGCATCATGAGAATATATTAAGCTGTACTGTGAGCCATGAGATGTGTTGAACTGAGTTGTCTCAATTTGACTGACACATACAAAAAACTTGCTTGGAGCAAAAACACCTCAGGGCAAAGTCAATAACCGTCCTTGTTGGTTTTTGTGCATAAAGACCCTGCAAAGCATTGCTAGCTTAGGTTATAAGTGGTGCTGTATGCAGCATTGGTTTACGCTTTATACTCGTCCAAACAAGCACAGAATTAATTAAACTGAAGCACATGTCCCAAGGCTATAAGGCATGAATTCATATCGAAAATGCAGTTTTAATACCTTTAAGTCGATTTTTCTCCTTCATGGCACAAACCAATCACCAAATTCTTGTTCTATCAATCAATCATAATCCAGATGACATAGAACAAATCTGAGAAGTGTTCCAAAGTGTTGGGGGAGCATGGAGATGGGCGTGGAGAGGCTTCAGCAACACATCCAAAGTCAGAGTCTCAACAAGCACAGACTTGTGAAAGGTAAAAACGCTATTTAGAATTAAATAAATAAAAAAAATCTTTGAGTATAACTCACCAGAAATCACACTTTTCTGTGAGTTTCTGTCAGGCTGCGGAGAAAATGGGCATAGGAAATCAAGAAATGCTCTAAAATGCATGAGTAACACCAGCTGTCAGCAGCAAGGACACTCCAATGACTCCTCCAAACTCCTTTAAAGAGTAGAAAGTCCTCCCGTCTACCTAGCCTCAGACATTTCAGCAGTTTTGTGATTGGGGAAAGTTTTAGTAAAGGTAACATTAAAATAGGGAGAGCTAGATGCAACAGCATAACATTAGGCAGAGTACCAATGCTGCCCCAGAGGTATGCCGGCGAAGAAAGAAATCAAGTTCAAGAGACTTCGACTGGAAGTAAGAATCAAAGAAAATTACAACAAAAATGCTGCTGATGTCAGGCAGAAACACTGCTGTGGTAAAGCAGTGGAATAAATCGAAACTCTACAGTGAGAAGAGGCAGAATGGAAACATAAATGTTCTCTGGTCATAGTCGGCTTGTGTAACCTGAGCGTCTTTCTCTGAGGGTGCAACGGTCCAACGTTCAATAAAATGCTCATTGAACTTGAACATCAAAATATCCTCTTTTAGCAACAGCTCGGCAGACACGAATCAGAAGATGTTTTCATATTTCTATAAGTCATCCTGAGGACTCAAACTGTCGATGCAAAGGAAGCGTTTCTTTTACTGTCGGTATCAAACTTAGAAAAGGTGCGACTTCGCCCCGGTGACTTGGTGCAAAGATTTCCAACCCGGCATCTGTTTCGATTTGAATAATTCCCCAAATCTCCCATCCCATCCATTCATTCGCCCATTTTCTGCTGCTTATCCGGGTTCCGTTCACAGCGGCAGCAGGCTAAGCGAGTCAGCCTCAACCTCCAGCTTCCCAAGGCGTTTCCAATCCACAGGAGATATACAGTGTAATCCCTTCAGCGTGTTTCGGGTCCTCCCCAGGGTCTCCTGCCAGTTGAACAAGCCCGGAAAAACTCCAAAGGGGATTGCCCAGTAGATGCTCGTATCGGATGCTCAAACACCGTAACGTTCCTTCTATCCATCAGTCTTATCCGCTACCATCTCGGTAAAAATCAAGCTATCAGCTGTCGGGCTGTCAGCCAAAGCTGCAAATTATGAGTGAGATATTCCAGGATGCTGGACTTATGCAACTTTAACACTCGTGGTGAATCTAGAATTACTAAATGACACGTGTTACACCGAAACACATTATCAGCTCACTTATGAACTGAAATATCAGTTTAATGTATATGAGGGGACTCAAGTGACTAACGTGCCAAAACAATTTATAGACTTAAGTCATCGACAATCTGCTGAGAACAGCTGAGACAAACTGTGAAAATGTAGGCAAAACACCAGCGCTTACAAAGAAAGTGAGATAATTAGGCATCATGGTGCTGTGGAAGGAGAAAGTGTTTATCAAAAGGAGTCGACGATAATTGACAGCAGTCCAGAAATCTCACTGTTTATCATCTCCTCCCGAGGTAACCGTGTCATGAAGAGTATTTTAGTGAACTAATGAGTGAATCAGCGTCCAAATGCTCACCTGCACCGGATCAGCTGCTCGAGTTCAAACAGCAAGGGCTGAAAAAATCCAAGCTGGATGCACTGAGGAGAGCCGATTGTTGTGTTACTGCAGAGCAAAGTGCATGTGGACAAGTTAAAAATCACTTCAACCAATGACAAAGGTTAGACTAAAACTTCACAGATGAAAACGAGACTAGGATTTATTATTAAAGGCCAAAGTTTGACTCTGATGCCAAATTAGCATTATTCATTTTTATTTATCATTGCGACAAAAATCCAACAAAGCTCCACCAAACAGTTCAGGTGTTCATGAAGAATAAAAGCTGCTTTTTTTTCCCCCCTTGAAGTCTGACAGGCAGGTAACCGGTCCCGTTCTTTAGCGAGTTCAAACACCCGACGATTTTGCATATCCGCCCACGCCGACGCGCACAAGTACAAATGCACACGCGATAAACACACAGCAACTCCCACTTGGCGACAAAACAGCCTTTTACATGTTTCTGCTAAATGAGGATCTCTGGTATGCAGGCCACCTGCCGCGCCGTGTTCTGCCACATCAACTCATCACCCGAGAGGAAGCGACACCGAGTGGGATGTACT